CCCTCCTCGCCTCTGCCCCGAGCATGACGTACTATGGAATGAAATACTCCCTTGGTCAGTTGGGGTCAGGTGCCTGAACTGCGTGTCCCCTGCGCTGCCTGTAGCGAGACAGCAAGAGCTGGGAATGCAGCTGCAGGGTCAGAAGCGGAGAAAGACCTTGAATCTGGCACAGGCATTCCCCAGCACCAGCTAAGAACTGATCCATGCTGCTGTCAGCATCCAGGAACAGCTTCCTAGCAGCCACGGTAAAGAGAGGTAACTCTTTCCTGACTGAACCCAGCACACAGGTACAGCACAAGATCTACAGGAAGGAAGTTCCTTGTTCTTCTGGGACTGCATGTAAAGACTGCCTAAGAAGCCGCAGAGCACCCCACATGACACTTAGGCTACTGAATCAAACCCAATATGTATACCTCCTTTGAAAACAAACTGAGAAGGGCAAGCGTGCTAGTCCTTTTCTTGCAGGGTGGTCCTAGAAATTGGCCTCTGGTATAAAGCAGACGTGTGGAACAATGGGGGGATGGGGGGAGGGGAAAGGAAGTGAGTGGAAAAAAACTGAAATGTGATTGTTCCTTCATATTATGTGCTTTGCTTTCCCAATTTTTTCCACCACCCTCTTTGTTTCTTTTATAGTTTGAAGTATTTAAGTTACTGAGTCCCAGACCTGACTCATTAGTAACATTTGTACAGCACAGCTCAGTTGGAGACACTTGATGTATCACATGCACAATCTTACAGCCCAAACCTAAATCATAAACCACAGGATCTCACATCATCACAGCCCTGCCAAGTACAAGATTCTCCGTCTTTGAGGATTTAATATTCTGCACTGGACAGACATCAAGAGTGGGGAATGTGCAGCACGGTAGAGTGACTGCAAAACCAAGTGTCACAGTGGAGCAGAGCAGCCTTAATTTATCTTCCCCTTTACATCCAGTGATCATATTTACTGAGAGTAGTCACTGCAACCAGAATACTTTCTTCCTCAGCTTCAAAAAAATCCCTAAACCACTCCACACCCATAACAAAAGTAGTAAGACAACGGAATGAAAGTCAGACAAAGCCAGCACTTATCTATTTAATTTTAACATAAACGCAAGTTACAAATCAGACTTAAGAAACTGTGTAAGAGAAGAAAACATGGAAATTAAGGCCATTATTTCCTCTCAAAAAATAAAAATCTGAAGACAGCATCCAAGCAACTCCCATTGTAATTTAATCAAGCCCTCTTCATGAATTCAGAAGTACAATGTCAAAGCCAGGCTCCCAGAACCTCCAATGTGCCAATGAAAGCAGAGAACACTGTGGGTTTTCAGAACCACGTTTTTGGACTAGTTCCATCTACTTTTAAAGTGCGTGGTCTGTGGAAAATTACATGTGAAAATAAGCTGTATTTGCCTTCTTCCCAAACACTACGTATAACTTCAAACTACAAACCTTGCTTTACACAGGCACAGAACTGGGACAATGTTGTCATAAACAGTAAGTGTAAGTTTCCATACGGGTCTTGAATTACGGAATATCAATGTCAGTCCTGTCTGTCTCACACTAGTGGAGTTCTCCATCGTGGAAGTAACAGGCTAAGTCAACATATACAAGTCTGAACACTTCACAACATGTAAAAATAGAAGGGTAATTCTGCTACAATTAAAAATGCAAAAGGTTATAGAGAAGTTTCTGGTCTTGTTTCTGCTGATATAAACAAGGTCAATGGCTTTAGACTTCCATCCACATGAAGACATCCTTTGGCCCTGTTCACTTACTGGTCTGGTAGCCTTCCCTGCTAAAACTCTGCAAGTTACAAACCCTGCCACTTACTACTTTCCTTCCAAATAGTTTGCACCTGGCATAAAACTTGGAATATTATTTACATCGTGTCTGCACTATACTCATTAACCTCTCCTATACTTACTTAGGCACCATCAAGGGCTTTAACGCCAGCTGCTTCTGAACCTCCTTCCTCTTGCTCTGCTGTATCCTACTGGCATCAACAGGGAATGAACATGTCACCTAATCCTTCCTAATTTAGTAGCCTGCATGAAATAACATGCAAATAGAAATAAAATGTCATAAGGCACAACTCTAGCTTGAGACAGGAATTTGTTTTCAGAGTGATTGCTCTTTTTCAGCTGATGCTCAATCTTTTGTAAGGCAGTTGCATAACAGCACAAAACTGGACCTCTTCCTTCTGCAGAACACCACTGGGTTCCTCTGCCAAGAAAGGATCACTGAAATTCCTGCCCCAGCGAATACCCACTGGGATAAAAGAACAATTACCAATTGATCAGCCAAGCTGAAAATAAGTATCTGCCTGTATACTTGAAGTTTATCCTACTCAAATCAAATTGCATGGTTCCAGTCTTCAAGAAGCTTAGAAAAAGAACTTATAAATGACACAGATTATTAAAAATATATTTTGATTTAATTTTCATCTGTATTCTGTACGGAATTTTTTTAATTACTCACATATTGGGAGACTCCTTGCAACATGCAAATGGCAATATCCCACCCAGGAATGTATGAAGGGTGGTATAGTTTCTTCCCAGTTAAAATGTACATAATGTTAGCTGCGATTTTTTGCACTGTAACTCTTCCCAAGCCAGGTCTTTTACAAAAGCAGACAGAAATCTAACTATATGGAGGCATCATTATTTATATAAACTCCCAGTCAGTAGTGTGCTCTTAAATGAAAAACCCATTGGGTCTGAGGGCAAGGAAGAGAAACTGGGGGGAGGTGAAACTAAAGATGGGTGACCTTCAGATCCCAGTCCAAGTTGGAAAGGAAGGGGTGTCCAGGACTCAGAGGTGGGCTGTGTTCACAGGAGGGACCAACGACTAGATTGCTGTCAGCGTAGCACTGAAACCCACACTTGCATTTAAAGTACCATCACCGGTAAATAGGATGCCAGAGCCCCTTCTCCAAACTGGTGAATACTTAACTCCAGTATGAATTACTTCTCGAAAATTATGAAATATACCCACAGACTTCTGCTACATAAATAATGAGGGAGGGAGGTACTGATTCCAGAATTATAACAAAATAGGTAAGAATAACCTTGTTTAGTATCACTGCAGGTATCTAATACTTGCCATTAAATACATTTATTACTAATACTGCAGGTATCCAATACTTGCCATTAGAAAACTGTAGAAATTAGTCTATTACTGATATTTTACTTTTCATTCTCGCAAGTTCTAGAAGGGCCACATTCAGAGGGGATTGGTGCCTTTCTTGTTAAGAAAAGATCCAAGAAAACTAAGTGCAAACAATTTTCTTGACCTCATTGGCACTGTAGACTTCTCTTTAGTTACCAGCCGACCAAGAGTCATAAACAAATTTCGCTGCTACTGTATCTTCAACTGCCATCCCTGAAAAAGAATTAAGTCACCTTCAAACTATTATTCAGCTGTACAAAATTTAGCTTTGGAAGGGAACAGGAGGACAGGAAATTATCTAACTGGTCAAACCCAGGAATCATTCCCTATCCCAGATACCTACTGTGTTACATTCAAAGTTTCCAGCCATCATGTAACTGTTAGATGTGCTGTAAGAGGTTAATGTAATAGTGTGAATCTGATTTTCAGTGTTGATATCACAACTTGGCCTTTTTGGACATGCCAGGCAGCTCAGAGCATGGTAATCTACCACGGCTCCCGCGCCTTCCCCAAACATCAAACACCCACCCCACAGTACACTGTCTGTAGGTCAGACAGCCCAGGGGCATAACAGCAGGGCTTTCGGGTTGGAGCTGTATCAAACAACGCTGCAGGCGTGTTGAACAATTGTAAAATGGAAAACCTATTTCTTACTTTTTTGCTTTCCTATCACTTTTCATTACATCAGTCCTGTTAGATAAATAAAAAGGGAAATAAAAAGGGAAAATGCAAATCACATTCTACTTTCCTCTGAAGAGTGCACTGCCACAGTAATTTTGAAGACTATTAGCAGCTTTCCCACACATGGGGGACCTAATAAATAACAAGGCATTGTTTTCTGTCAGACTTGTACACAGGAAGGGTTGTTCTTACCCAGCGATTTAAACACTGTTGTTTTCTCATGCAAGGCTGGTTTTGTACCCTTCACTACCTCTCCCAGCTCAGCAAAAATCTCTGCCTGAAAAACAAATATTTTATTTATTAAAAGATAACAACACCTATACATACGTTAAAGAGAAATAAATTGTTTCTGAGTGACTTCAAAAGAAAACTCCTCCAGTTCTGCTACGCCAGAACGGATTCCTTCCCATGGTGAAGCAGATCAGTATTCAGAAAAATAATACAGAAACTGGACAGAAATCACATAGGAGTGGAATGGTTTTCAGAGAAAAACAGCTGACAGACTGTCCCCAGTCAGAAAGCTACAACTTGTTACTTATCCCACAAAACACATGGGGTTCCACACTCCTTACCATATGTTAAACCTCAAAAGTGGAAGCCATATTTGTCCTGCAAAAATATTAAAAGAGAAAAAGACTCCATTAAACCTAAAAGAGTCCCTGGCATCAAATTTCTACAGATCACCAACTGCCTGCTTGGCTTCTGTCATCCATTTTCCAGAGACCTAATGGGTGTCAATCACACTCAAATATTAGGGGAAGAAAGTTACAAATTTTAATAAATAGATGTGAAAAATGTTTAACAAAACTACCAAATATTGCAGGAAATGTAGGTCTTTCAGAATCAATACTTCCTGTACAAAGGCCATGCTGAAAACATGCTACTGGAATATGGTGCATGTAATGGTTGATACAGAGGTGGCATGGTTTTGGCACTGACTTACAGAAGTTCCGGTCTGAAAGCAGCTCATCTTCCAGCCTGTGCCCCGCAAGTGTTAACAACTACATTTGATGCTCAAAAATGTTTCAGTGCAGCACATCATCAGTACTAACTCATTTCGAATGCAAACCAATTGCCACAAAAATTAAATCCATAATTCAAGAAAGTCTTACCCCCGATAATATAACATCTCCCGATTCTGTAAGAGCAGCCTCTCTGGAATCCACAAACAGAACAGAGTTCTTCATCAGTTCATCATCCAGTTCTCTCCAGTCTGGTCTGCTTGCTCCAACAGCTAGGGCAACAAAACTGATAAACTTGGGAGGAATATTTAAAACAAATTCAAACCACATTTTGTCCAAAAGACATTTATAAAGTAACATTGGACATGATCGTGGAATTCTAATATCCAAACCACCTGATGTTAACACTAGAAACATGTTGATTGATAAAAACAACAAATAAATAGGGTGTGACTGAGCAACTGTGAAAAAGCCTGAATTTTCCTCAACCTGGCCTCAGCTCTAACACTGACACTGTTTCTGTAAGGTGCTAACCCCCTAAATTTCCACTGATGTCAATGAGGGATGACATTGGGTCCAACTCTCCAAATTACAGCCCACTGAAGTGTTCAGCACCCTTGACCTCTAGTCATGCAGATGCTGCTGGTGACAAAAGTCTTACATTCCCCCTAAGCACAGCCAGAATCACTGGAACCAATTGGCCTTTGCACTTCAATCTGCTGAAGCGTTAAACTGCCACAACTCTTCAGGAAGCAGAAGTGGGATTCTTCGCTGGCACTGCTTCCAGCCTTTTGGTACACCAGTCAAACTGCTCCTTCCAAATAATGCCGACAGAGAAGAGAAGGGGTGGTAGCTCTGCTTAGCACTTCATCATTTCCTAGCAATACAAGAAACGTAAAGATATGTGTAGCTGTGTATAGCTACAAAGCAAACAAGCCTTTGCTAGGAGCCTTGAAAACGACACCAATAAATGTGTGTGACATTATTACTCCATCTACTTACCGAGGCACTGTTAAAATAAGTTTTGCTCATTTGGTGACGCAGCTCAGGGACAATAAAGTTACACAGACTACACCTCTTCTGCAGGCAAACACTAACCTGTTTCTGTGACTGCCAAATCAACAGGTTTTAGGTGTTACTTAACTGTTTAAAAAATAAAAAGCAACAAATACAGCTCCTCTAAACCATTCAATATTTGTTTTGCCAGTAGAGTATCCTTGGCAGCAGACTCTGGGTAGCTGAGGCATAAGAAAGTCATCTCCCTTTGTACATTAAAATCGAGGGCATTGATCTGATGTATGAGAGATACAGTCCTCTCATTTGATCCAGGCTGTGTTTGAGAAATATAACATTTGAGAATCCCACAATTACCCTGAGCAGATGAGAACCAAAGCAACGTGCAGCAAAGACCTCCACATACAGACAGGGAGTTCAATGTTACTAATTAGGATTTTTAAACCTATACCCTTCTATTATTTCCTTGTAGCTTCCTAAGCGGTACAAGTTGAGCAGGTTATGGATTTTCACTTCTCTGGAGAAACTGAAAACAAATCAAGGAGCTTATCTTTTCAAATACAGAAGACCACTATCAACTTCTTATGGGCTATAAAAAAAAAAAAAGGAAAAAAGCGCCAACCCAACACCCCAAAACACAAAACCAAACCAAACAAAAAAAGCAGTTATACTATAGTTAAATGTTTTTAGAAAGTGTCCAACTGTTATGGAGTGATAAATTCCATGTTGCCTGAATGCCTCTTCAAACAGCACAAATGCCTCAATGGAGGACAAAAAAGGCAAATAAAGTAGAGGGGTGGCTGTGTATGTGTCGCCTCAGTGGCTGCAGACCTTAATTGATTTTGGTTGCACTTCTGGCTTCCATTCCGTGACATAACACAGACAACAACCTTCAATGACAAAGGACTAAATTGAGTTTGAAAAATTGGTAGGATGCTGCTGGAATGTGGGACCCTCCTTCAAACTGTTCCCTTTGACAAGTCGCTTTTGTCTTATTACCATGCCATTTGGAAAGTGCACAAGGTCATCTGAACCAGGCCCACAATTAATAAAATAAGCAAATGTGGGCACATCCAGAGACTCCAAACAATATTGTGGCAACATCATTACAAGGCATGGGGGGGAAGCGTGCCTCAAACCTCACCGTAATGAGAGGTCAAATTGTGAAGTTCTTAACTCAGTTACTGCATTTTTTTAACTCATGTTTAAAAAAAAAAATTAACGTGATCAGCCCAAAAAAGAGTAACAAATAGAGGAGCTTCTAGAATTGGGTGAAGAAAAGAAGACAACTACGAGGGAAGCAGCAGAATGAGCAGGAATCACCTTTTAAGTAACTCGTACAAACATGTTATTTTCACGGAAAGCAACGTGAACATCAAATGACAACAGTGCTGGAATATGCAGCAGTTCTGGCTCCAGACAACCAAGGGCTGGGGAAATGGCCCTCGCTAAAGGGGGAAAGTCAAAATGAGAAGAACATTCACTCTGAGAAGCAGAGAGTATTGCTTTTCAACAGCTTATGATGCTAAACAGTGTGATAATAAATATAGCCTTTAAACAATGAGAACGAGCATACCATTGATATGGGCACCTGGTTTTACCCAGTCTCCAAATAAAATTGGTGTTGTTGCCATAGTGACTGTGATGATCACATCAGCCCCGGTAACTGCCTCCTGAGCAGAAGAGCAGACCTGCACTGGACCATTCACTGAATTAGCAAACTTCACTGCTTTCTCTTTAGTGCGATTCCATATCCTGACCTTCAAGGAAAATCGACAAACAGATTAGCTTGGAGAACTTCTGGCTGAAACAGAGCACTGTTTCAGTTTTCAGTAGATAATTACATGAATCGTAAATGCAGGATGTGGGGTTTCCCCTTCAGTGTTCTTGTCATACAAGTGACTAAATTTCATGTCTGCGCAGCTACATTTGAATGACTCTTCTGCAATGCCAGAATGACAGCTCCTTGCAGAGCTGTATTTATAAAATACAAGCATTTCCAATAAAATCCTTTAAGGGAAAGTCATGGAAGCTCATCCAAGCATGGCATACACACTAGGATTTTATCAGAGAGATGTTTCCAAACACACACTTTTTTTTTTTTGAGGGCCAACATTTGAGCAAGGAATTCTACAGCTGTTCAGAGTATTCTTGGATTCTGTAATAACAGAACCAAAATTATGAATCCCTTAACTTCACCGGCTGCAGTATGGTTCATTTATATTAAGTGCTCCTGAAACATAATAGAGAAAATGAGATGTATCCTGTTAAGATGTGTCCATTACCTCTTTAAATGTGAACAGCTCCATGAAGATATCATAATGGCTATATGCTTGAACACCAGCTCCCAGAATGCACAGCACCTCTGCAGAGGCTGGCATTAGCAACTAAATATCAAATATAAAATAAAAAAAAGGACAATATGTTAACAGATATGACAAATACCTATCAAAATACTATAAAAAGAAAGCAGTATCCTTAGTCCTTTTAAGCCAAAGGGGGTTATGCAAAAAAATAGTATTGATTCATATTCATACAAACCAATATTCAATTACCACTATATCCTTTTTTTAAATGCAAGTGCTAGTGTCGATAACACCAAAGTGCATCTTGGCCTGATTCTGTTTTGGAATTATCTAACTCTTGAAATTCAGGCTTACCATGGGACAGCATGGGACAATGCAAGTTCTGGAGCCTCAGCACACACATTAGTATAACGTATTTCACCCAGGTGACTAATGGAGCGTAACACCACAGTGTTGATATTCTGCACTGGCTGGAAGCAGGATTCCTAATACCGAAAGCTGTCAGTACTCAAAGCGGTAGCTGTGTGGGTAGACTGGTCCTGGCAGCCCCAAACTAAACCTTCTTTCTCAATTCACTGAAGCCATAAATCATACCACAAGCAGACCTTGGCACCGTAAGAGCCACAATACGTATGCACTGGGTATTGTAAAAACGGGGCTGGTTCTGAGGAACAAACACTAAAATTCAGTTCTACAATTGCTTTTGGTCTTCTGGTTTAGTTCTTGCCTGTGATTCACCAGTACTTGGCAAAGGTAAAGAGAGGCCTGCTGGAGTGCAGCCCGAAGCTATCCTTGTGTCTTGTTTATGAATCTGCTGGTGCCACTCACTTCTGTATAAAAAGCTTTAGAACTGTCTGGGCTCTCAACACTTATTCTGCTGCAAATAAATTGAAAAAAAAATCTCATTTATCCCATTTTTCAGTAGCAAGAACTCTTTTTAATAGTCTTTTCAAGGACTCTGCGACATTGATTTCAAAGGTTCCTTGCATAAAAGCATGGGTTTTTGAAAAGCAAACGCCATAAAGAGGGCAAGATGACAACTATGAGCTAAACTCAAACACTCAAGAAAGTTTCCCAAAACAGCAGATGACAATGAAGGATCTGATCTTGAATCTTGAGCAGCCAAGCTCCTTTGAGGCCAGCAGAGCCCTGACTGTGCAAAAACTGTCAGAACTGCCCAAACACAATCATCTCAGTGTTCTAAGGTCCTATAACCTCATGTCCAAGAATTCACTGTAAATTGTTCTGTCCCTTGGACCAGGGGATGCTCGGGGGACAGGTTCTTCACCCCAATTTGGTCCATGGCCCTATGGCCATGCATAGAGTGCCGCTGGCATGAAGACTGCCACTAACGAAGTGGTGAGATCAGCCTTTGGTTTGATGCAAAGCTGGGTGAAAAACAGAGCTCTGGCACTCTTCTTGTTGCCTCACCCACTGAGCTGACTAAAACCCTGCTGTGCAGCAGATGGTGACTCGCTCTCCTCCCACTCGCAGCAGCACAGCCAAATACAGGTGTAAAAGAGAACTCAAACCCAACAATTTTCAACTGAAATGACGTAAAGCAACACACAGCAAGTTACACCTCACCTGTCCTCAGACACTGAAGTTTGTGGCTGTAGTCAGGGACAGTCATCTGGACATGTTCCAGTGACAGAGAAACTGACAGCCAGACACCTGTGGACAAGTCATCTGTCTATCCTGGGCATCGCCTATCTTAGGAGGACCCACACAGTTCCCTGAAAACGTGCCTTTTTCCTCTTTCTCCAGGTCCAGTGCAACCCACCTGTCCGGGCCCATCACCCAAAGCCATAAAGAAGCATGTTAAGACAAGCACAAAAGAAGATGACAGAGGAAGACAGCTCAGTGAAATTCCAGAAGAGCACGCAGGACGAGCCACAGAAACACGGCTCAGATGCCTTCTGCAATCACACACCGAGTGTTAAAGCCAGACATGACTCACTCAAAATGGAAGACTCCGACGTTAAGATTTCCCTGAAAGTACATACTTTATCACAAATCTGATGTAAAGCTCTGCTGGATGAAAATTCATACACGCTGAAAGCTGCTAGTTATTTTACACATAGCACCACTAGATCTGTCCTAATTTAGGAAAGAGAAGACGTACCTTGGTAGCAATTGCAGAAACAGCAGCTGTTCGTTTTGCTGTAATGACACTGCCATCTAGGACCTTTGGAAAGAAAAAAAGAGTCCAGACTGAAATGAATGCTGAAAGTATGAGTAAATACCAAACATTTTAATCCAATTTGTGAATTACGTGCTATTACAGAGCACAGATAAAAACGTGAAGGTCAGCAACCACAAACCATATAAAACCACCTTTAAACTGGGCAGATTTTCTGTCTATTCCAGTTCTTCCATGTCATCCCCCCAGCACAAACAGAGTGAAAACTGCTCAGAACTGAGCCGTCCATAACTCACAGCTCTTTGTGCACTGTGCTTCCCTGGGAGCGGATCAAGAGTGCGATACTCTGCACTCCAGCAAGACCACAACTACTGCAAGCTGCCAGTGCTTCACGAGTCTGCGCCATCTCGCCCTGTGCAAGGGATGACAGGGAACCAGGGAATTCCTTTAATGCACATCACACACCACGAGGCACTCCTGCCTCAATGTGTATTAGCTACTGCATACAGATGAATTATGGCGCTTAAAGAACCGGCCCGGTTTGGGAATAAAAGTCCAATGTAGTTTTCTTGACCAGTTTTGGCTCTTTAATAATCATTATTACTAAGGTGTAGTGCAAAAGGTCAATATGCTTAAAAAAATTCTTAAATTCCTTAAACAAAGAAAAAAAACCTGAAAACCCTGTGAAACCAATGATAAATGTCTTTCAATTTATACTTAAGATGGTTCAAGATCCATTCTTTATTCAGAAAAGGGCTTTTTTCCCCTTTGAAATGCAAGATAAACGTTCACTGATCAGCCCTCTCTTCCAGTCGCCCTGTGAGCTATCAGATGCCCTTCAACTCACACTGAAGAGCAGACAGTACAGTTTAACATGTATGAAAGATAGAAGGCTTCAGGTTAAATGCTCATGGTACAAACGTTTTCATTGATGCCACAGGCAAACTCAGACAATTTACACCAGCTCCAGCTTCTAAGAATCACAAAGAACTGACACAGCACGAACAGAAAGGAACCGAGCGGCACGCGTGAAACTCACAGCTTTTAAAGAACCATTTCTTGGGTCAAATAAGAGGATAGTTGCTTGGTGAGAAGGGGTAGAGGAATCCTTCTTGTGCTCGTAAAAAGTCACCAGCTTGGTTGTCAGAGCATCATCTGCAGCGCTGTAGGCAGGCATGACCCCGAGGAACCTTGTAAGGGAATTACTTACGTTACGAACCTCCAGCTCGGAAGGCCACAGCCACCCACCCGCTTAACACCAAACCCGCCCGTCGATCAGCAACTCGGTCCCAACGGGCTCCTCTGACGCGC